AGGGTGAGAAACAGTTCCTGGCTGTTGGGAAAACCGGTTTCTCCGCTTGCTTGCTGTGAGCTATCTTCTTCGTCCCCAAAACCTGCTTCCGTATTGCCTCCATCTCCATTGAAGGAGTCAAACAACACTGCTGGGGTAGTGGTGGCTGAACCCCCTAAAATGGCATGCAGCTCATCATAGAAGCGGCATGTTTGGGGCTCTGACCCGGAGCGGCCGTTCGCCTGCCTGGTTTTCTGGTAGGCTTGCCTCAGTTCCTTCAGTTTCACGCGGCACTGCTTCGGGTCCCTGTTATGGCCTCTGTCCTTCATGCCCTGGGAGATTTTGACAAAGGTTTTGGCATTTCGAAAACTGGAACGGAGTTCTGATAGCACGGATTCCTCTCCCCATACAGCGATCAGATCCCATACCTCCCGTTTGGTCCATGCTGAAGCTCTTTTGCGATTCTGGGATTCCATCATGGTCACCTCTGCTGATGAGCTCTGCATGGTCACCTGCAGCTTGCCACGCTGGCCAAACAGGAAATGAGATTCAAAAGTTCGCGGTTCTTTTCCTGTCTACCTGGCCAGTGCATCTGAGTTGAGAGTGCTGTCCCGAGCGGTCACAATGGAGCACTCTGGGATAGCTCCCGGAGGCCAATACCATCGAATTGTGTCCACAGTACCCCAAATTCGAGCCGGCAAGGCCGATTTAAGCGCTAATCCACTTGTCAGGGGTGGAGTAAGGAAATCGATTTTAAGAGCCCTTTAAGTCGAAATAAAGGGCTTCATCGTGTGGACGGGTGCAGGTTTACATCGATTTAATGCTGCTAAATTCGACCTAAAGTCCTAGTGTAGACCAGGGCCTAGAAACTCATCTGGTGGCAACAGAGAGAAACAGCTGAAGCAGGTACAGAAATATCATTGGGGGGGAGAAGAGAAGGGAGGAGCAGAGACCCAGCCTGAGTACCTCAACCCTAATGCTCCCTGGACTCAGATCTGTGAAGAGACTTCTGGTGCAGCAGGGTACATGTCATTCCACCCCTCACTCCAGCCATAGAAACGTGGCAGCAAATACTGCTGGGAGTAGCCAGCCAGAGACTCAGATGGGCAGAAGCAGAGATAAGTGGCTGAAGCAGGGACATGCAGACTCTGAGATCAAGGCGGGTGGGGGAGGGGGAGAAGAGAGGTGGTGTACTATTTAAAATAGCTTTTGTTGTGGACATTCTTCCCTTTTTGCTGATTGACTGTTCACTCCAGTCTTCCCTGCCCCTTCCCTTACAGTTTCTTTACTCCAGCCTCACATCCAGTCTTCCATGTACCCCGGATTTCCTACCCTCCTTTAATGTGACCTCTACCTTCCTTGTCTCTTGAAATAATCCTCTCCCAACAAAGCTCCACCCTGCAAAATTAAAAAAAAAACAAAATCATGGCACTAACATGACTTTTGTGAAACTTCATAGTGTTCACCTGCTTATATGTTACATCACTCCCCCGAACACTTTGTCTGTCTTGTCTATTTAGATTGTAAACTCTTCAGGACAGTGCTCTTATTCTATATTTGCACACTGAGATCCCTAGGCATTACCATAACACAAAAATATTTGGGGCAAATCCTGGAATTTGAATGGAGATTTTGACAGCAAGATCATACAGACTGATAATTATGCTGTACAACGGGCTTCTCATTAGAGGGATACACTCACAGAACGCAAGAGTCAAGTCACTATTTCCAACAATATTGTGGGCCATGTAGCCACAGCAGAACTGCTTAGTCACTGGTTTAAAATCTCCTGCTCAGGATTCAAAAGAGAAACATTTAGCAGATTTGCTCTCATATAAGTTCACATCAAGCATAGCTTTTTGGATTCAGCAGGGGGATGGAAATCACAGACTCTAAACCCATAAGAGACCACTGTGATTATCTAGTCTGACCTCCTATATAACAGGCCCCAGAACATCCTCAAAATAGTTCTTAGAGCATGTCTTTCAGAAAAAGATCCAATCTTGATTTAAAAATTGACCTTGGTAAATTGTTTTAATAGTTAATTACTCACTGTCAAAAATTATGCCTTATTTCCAGCCTGGAACACTTAAATTACTATTAATCTGTGCCTCCATTTCCTTATCTGTAGAAAGGGCAATGAATCCATTCCTATGTATTCACAAAAGTGTTTAGATAAAGACCATTTGAAGATGTAAAGTGCTGTAGGTCTTCACCAAAAACCTCAGCAGCTAGGCAGGATGAGAGAATGATAATAAATTCACACAGATTTCTACATTGTGTGGGTGATAAGGTCTATTGTCTGCCCATTTTGCACTCTCCCACAACTGAATGGGCGCAAGTACAGTTTTTCACTTCACAACCACATACATGATACATCAATACCATCCTCAGAATGGCCAAACTGGGGAACAAGAAATTATCCAGCAGCATTGCTGACACACACAAGTCTTTGTCTTGTAGACACTGACATTCATTTACAGGAGATCCCCTTAGACAAATGCATCCAAGTCTCTTTCAAAGGCTGCACTGTCAATCTGCACTAATTAATTTTCACAGAATGCAAATGATGGATTCCAGCATGCCAAACCCTTACTTATGAACTTTAACTTTTATAAACTCATGCTCCTTATTCCTTTTAAAAACAAAGTTTAGCATAATCCTGAACACAAAACACAATTCATCAGCATGTACCAAGAAAAAGTGACATCAAGGGATGAACTACTAGTACCATTCCCATACTAAAAACGCATCCAGCCCTAGGATCTTTGTCTGCACTATTGCTTCCATTGACTAACACAAGTGGAAATTTTTTGAGAGAGCAAAATACCTTAGTAGACATGACCACAGAGAGAAAAAGCTCTTCCTCCTAACATCTTGCAACAACTTCCCTAGATTCTGAAAGGGCCTATTGACCCCTCTGAGACCTTTCCATTCTGACTACAGTGCCATAAATCTCATCCAAGCTCTGATCATCTATTCCCTTCTGGCCTTGATGCCTGCAACCTTCCCCCCCCCCCCCCAAGTCCATTCAAATGCTGCTACTAACATCTTTCTAGCTTGTCACCAACTGTGTCGTCCCTTCTAACTTCCTCCACTGGAACGTTTTCTTCCAGTGCATCAGACACAAAATTCTTGCCTTATCAAAACCCTTTGCAATCTGGACCCAAACCTACCTATACATCCGGTTATCTTATTGTGAGGGTAGACTCCTGCCTCCGCTATACAAGTGGTGCCACTCGATCACCCATTCTTCCACACTCACTCCCGTGCCGCACTTACACGTGGTAATTGGCTCAGAACTGTACACACAGCTAGTCTGTGCTAAGACATCCTATATTTGTTACCCCAGCCTCCTCATCCTCCAGCTTATCTCATCCACCTATTGTGGCTTGTCTTTTAGACCATAAGTTCTTTGGGACAGGGACTGTCATTTGCTAAGTGCCTACACTGCAAAGTCAAAACCAACTATCCACAACAGCAAGGAGAATATATGGTGTCAGTTGTGAACTAAACATTTTATAGAATAATAGTTATTTCAGTTCAAGATTTACTTCCGTATTAGGAAGGTTTGAGATGCCTGTGGAGACGGTTCTGGAAAAAGTGATTCTCAATACACTTGATGAAAACTCAAACAACCAGAGCAAGATTCAAGGTAGCAGAGTTGGTGCTTTGAGTGGTGGGAACACCCCAATCTGTGGCCAGTAAACAACCAGACATTACCCTTCAAGGAAGATTAGTGAATTACATGTTCAGGTGCTACAGTGACAAGTAAATTTTTCCAGAGCAACTATGTGACTTCAAAGCCCAAGTCCCAATGATTTTCATTAAAATCACATAGGTGTTTTTGAAAGCTTTTCCCAACATCTGTGGCTCTAACTAATGGGGTATTGTGAGAAGTAACAAACATTACAGAATATCAGATAATCGTTATTCATTTTATTTTAAATGGACTAGTGCTTTTTTCAGAGGCTAGGGCTCACCTCCAAAGACTTTACTACCATTAAATCTTGAACATCACTGAGCAATACTCACACGCATTTCAAGAAGTTTGCTCATTTTAATAATTCAGATCCTCAGCACAGACTGCCAGCTACTATTCTGTACAAGCTATGCTCTAGTCTGAGCAAAACAAGAGATGAAAAAAGGGAGAATTTTGTTTCCAGATTTGAAAAATAGCTGCCCAAACTTATGTTGCTCCAAACTTTCACTTCAGTAGCAAACATGAAGGTAATACTCACAGCATAAGAAATAGATTGAGATACTAACACAAGCTAGATTCCACAATACCATGACAGGAGTTCCATCCCGTGAGATGCTGAGCACTCAGCTACTATTTACAGCAGCTGCGACTAAATGTGCTCAAGTGGGAACTTGGCCATCGTCCAACAGTTTCTCACATTTTAAGTCTTTGGGAGAAAGGGGTTGTGTGGGTTTTTTTTCAGATGAAACATTTCACATTAAAATAGGACACTCTCTGCCTATATTCTTTTTGTTAGACTTCAGAGTAACAGCCGTGTTAGTCTGTATTCGCAAAAAGAAAAGGAGTACTTGTGGCACCTTAGAGACTAACCAATTTATTTGAGCATAAGCTTTCGTGAGCTACAGCTCACTTGCATCCGATGAAGTGAGCTGTAGCTCATGAAAGCTTATGCTCAAATAAACTGGTTAGTCTCTAAGGTGCCACAAGTACTCCTTCTCTATTTTAGACTGTATAGGTATTAGCCTATACCTAGCATTTATTTTTATTAAAGGCCTTTTAGACCTATAACTTTTTTATCTATGAAAACAGTTGACCAGCAAATTCATTTAACACTTCACAAAGACATAAAAAAGCAACAACAAAATATTTAGCATAAACTGTGGCTAATGCAGGCCTTTGATCAGCATAGTGTTTGTTTATGGCTTTATAATTGAAGCAATCCAAGCTCATAACTTGTGAATGAACCAGCTAAATTAGCTATTGCTTGTAAACAGATACATAGAAATTCTCCAGTTTCACAAATTGGAAGGCAACTTACCGAAGCAGCAGTTCTTTCGGAAGTTTTTTGTTGATCACAGCTTCGTCATTGTTTGAGAACATCTGCAAACAAAAACAGTTTAAACCATTTAGCCACCCTGTATTTTCATTATAAATCATTACTTCTAGGAGCAAAACTGCTGGTTAACAAGACAATTTCAACTGCATCGACAGGGCCAACTTTGTGCTTAAATTCTCAAGTTCTCAGACTGGGCACCAGTGTGCGACTGGCATTTGATGCCTGATGTAGTTTTGCTCAATTGGGCCAAAAATGCTTCATGGCTTGATAGAGAGGGATTAATTATAAACAGTTCTGGGAGAACAGGGGCTGTTGGGTGTTACAGGCCGAAACCTACTGTATGAAGGAGCATCTGATCGCGTATGGTGCTAACAAGGGACTTTCAATCCCTGTCAGTGCTGTGAACATGCATCAAAGCACAGGCCTTTTCACGGAAAGAGAAAAATGGCACATTACACCAAACAACCTTGTGCCACTAGTGCCAGCGGGCAGGGAACAAGAAGAATTGGAAAGAAAGGCAACAATGGGGCACTCAGGGAGCCACAATGTACAGGCAATGGTGACTCAGGAAGGGTGTGTGCTGGCTCCTGTTTCTTTGACAAAAAGTGAAGAAAAGAGCAAGGAGAGCAGATGAGGAGGAGGTACTGATTGCAACTCAGGATCCTAACTAGAAGGGTACCACCACTGCCTGTACAATTGTAGTGAAAGGATAAAGGAACAGCTTTTGTGAGCTTTGAAGAAAATCACCAGCAGTGCCTGCTCCTCCACAGGATCGTGACCACAAAGCATGACCTGAAGAGTAGCATGATCTGCATAGCTCTGCAATGGGAAGAGAGGATTCAGGGAGAATACTACATTCCTCTCCACTGGCAAGTAAGCAAGAGGTTTTTTTTATCTCTCTCTCATACAGAGACACACACACATTCTCACCCGCCGCCCCACACCCCTAAAGATTATTCAACGACATAGCAGTCCACTAATTTACAAAAGGGCTTGCTGATCAGCTAATCAATTTTAAAACCACCTCACTAGCTGTATCAAAAACAGACTAGCCAAGCCCCAGTTTCTAGTTACCAACAAGTCTTATAAGGAAGGCAGAATCTCATGTGCTTCCATGGATGATCTGCATGTATTTAAAGGCTTAGTACTTCCTCCCATTGAAATATGCACTTAAACCTGGGGGAGGGGCAATTAGAGAATACTTACGAATACCTAGATCACTGATGTGTGCAGCCTTGTTGCTCTGTATTCTTGGGTCAAGCATTCAAGTTTCCCATACCTATCATACAGTAGTGCTGAAGCACATTTCCAACTGACAGTGAAAGTGTTATATCAAACCTGGCAAACAAACAAGTCTAAAAATAACGAGTTTCATTCATTAACAAGGTTTCTAACCTTTCTCCTAAAACACACGCAAGAACTGTTGTGTATGGATAAGTTATACCCCACAAATGCAAAGCCTAACAAGACTGATGAGCAGTGAAGTTACATTCTGAAAAGGTTGATTCTTATCAGCTGATTAAGTGGGCTTCACTAAACCAGTCTGGCTGTATAGATGCAAAGCAAATAAACCCAGCATTAACACACCACCAGGTAGGTCACTCTTCTGTTGACAGAGGATCAGATTAAAAGAGTTAAAAAAGGACAGCAGAAATCTCCCATGTCTTAAATAGACTACATCTATTTTCCTGAAATACAAAAGGCAAAGTAAGGAAAGACATCTGAATGTTGAAAGTCCTACAGTAGACCCGAAAAACTCCAAACTGTCCTTACACATATCATACTTTAACACAATAAACCACCATGCTGCATATATGAAGGCTCCTAGGTAGGTATCACCTGCAGACAGAGGTAATGAAGCAGGTGGACTGTAAACAAAAGTCCACAGAATATGGGTTTCTTTTCATATATAAAAAGAAACACACGTACCGTCATCCCAAGCAGATATCAGAACTGCTCTTTAGAAATAAGGGTAAAATTTTCAATAGCAGTTAGTGATTTATAAACCCAAGTTCTATTTTCCAACCATTTATATTACCTGACGCTTTGCAGGTAATGACAGTGCAAATCACAAGTTTGTCGTGCTGGACTTGGGGCTGACTATGACCAGAGTACCAAAGCAGCATTGTCAACATTCTGGGAGCTGTGAGTTGCCTACAACAAAACCTACTTGCTCAGTAAGGAAAGGGGATTCTGGATTAAGTCCTATTGGCAGAGTAATACAGAGGTGTACCTGACCTCTCTCCCCATAACAGTCTGTGCAAGTATAGTATGTTTGAACCAACATTCCACACTCTGTGGGGAGTGGAGAGAGACAAGCCAGATAATGGTAGGATAGAGGTTAGAAAGGTTCATGTTAGAAGAGATTATCCAAGGCACATAAAGTCCTGAAATAGAGACGACACCTAGAAGTTTACAACTTAACTTCTCCTTCATTCCCACCCCGCAAACCCATCTAAACTTGGCTATTAAGTTACAACTGTTTCTTTTGGATTCTGACCACCACAGTGACCCATGCATTACATTAATTACCTCCCATCCCTAGCTGAGGCTATACTTCAAGGCTACTTGGAAACCAGTTACTATAGAATGCAGCTGCCTGCTTTGAGTTTTCCACAGGCAGCGTATGACACCTGACCACTTGCTTCAGTCCATTCCAAGTGCAATTCAAGGTGTTGACCTAAATCTACAAAGCCCTTCCCATTGTTTAGTTTCTGACTACTATAGAAACTGTCCTTCACCTTGTGCAATACTGAGGAAGTTGCAAATTGTTGATGGTAACACCTTGTAGATTTAAGGTGAGGGGATTAGAGGCAGGACATTCTCAGCGAAGGGCCCTCATTCTGCTTGGAAAGAATACCGAGTTTGGTGACACTCAGGCTACAGTGAAAGTCCCACCTATTTTCACAAGCCTTGTCGGAAAGCATGGTACTCAAGTGATGGGGGGATAGACTGACTAGGATTGCTAATGTGGCCAGTTGGATCTCTGATTTTTACATGCACTTCAAGTTCTAGAAATGCATTGTAAAAATCAAAATAAGATTATACAGACAAGAATTATTTATACAGCATTATTTCCTCCCTATGCACTAAGCAGGTATGCATGAGGGGGGGAACAAGCTTGGTAAGAACTAACGTTTAATTATTTGGCAGTGTATCAATAATAAATCAAACAGAAGAACTGACACAAATTCCTCAGAGAAAGAGGTCCTTACCTATTCTCTCCATGTACAATTGAAATGGAAAGGGAGAAAAAGAGTAAAGACAGAAACCATTTGATGTACAGTGTAAATCTGCAGTCTTCCATGTTTACCAATCTGCTTTCCAAATAAGGATTGTGCTTACCTGCACAACTTTTGAAAAGGGTGACTAGTTTTACTGTGGTGTGGGGGCTCATGGGCAAGTCAGCACCAAGAATACACCTAACTTCTGAAATGTTAGAAGTTAACCAGGACTTCAAATCTTTTGACTTTATTTCCAGAAATAATTTTTATTGACCTTGATTTTGCTTTTCTTAACATCCCTCCAACACCAGATGTTTTTCTGTTGAATGGGTTTTCTTGCCAGAAACTATAAGAAAACAAATGCATTTATTGTGTGTTAATTTTGCTGCCCATATAAAAATGTAAAATCTAACCCAAACCTCTGCCCCCACAAAGAATGAAATCCACCCCTTATGTAAAGCCCAGGATGATTGTGCAAGGAACTGCACAAGAACAAAGGGGTAGAAGGGGAGTATAGAATTTACACACACACACCTCCAACATGAAGACAAGCCACGGCACAGTAACGCAGCCCCTTCCCAGCCACTGTTCCAGTTTATCTGTTGAAACCATTCCCGCCCCCTCCAGTTGCCTCTCTACCACCACGAAAATATCCCCTTTCAGAGGCAGTATATAGCCCTCCTGATGTGCACAAGACCCTCTAGAGTATCTCCGTTCCCATACCTCCCCACTGGATAGCTACAGCAGTGCTTCAGTGGTTTTGGGCTATGCAGAGGTCTTCCACACTTGGATGACTATAACTCAAAGAACACAGCTTCACTGCAGTCAGTGTTTAATACCACAAACTAGGGTGCAGAAATATCTCAAGGCAGGAGGTAACACACCACAATGGAAATGGAGTGGAATTCAAAACGGGGAGTAGCACATTGTACAGACTGCCATAACCTGCTACATGGCTAGGGAAAATTTGTGGTATTTTGACAAGTAAAATAACCAGAAAAAGGGAGGTTTCAGAGTAACAGCCGTGTTAGTCTGTATTCGCAAAAAGAAAAGGAGTACTTGTGGCACCTTAGAGACTAACCAATTTATTTGAGCATGAGCTTTCGTGAGCTACAGCTCACTTCATCGGATGCATACCGTGGAAACTGCAGCAGACTTTATATATACACAGAGAATATGAAACAATACCTCCTCCCACCCCACTGTCCTGCTGGTAATAGCTTATCTAAAGTGATCATCAGGTGGGCCATTTCCAGCACAAATCCAGGTTTTCTCACCCTCCACCCCCCCACACAAGAGACAAGAGTAAGACTGTCCTGTTTAAATACTGCTAATCTCCTACAGGCCTTTGAAGGCAATGTCTGCTTATATTTTGAAATGACTCCTTTGTTACCATGGCCAAGAGGTGGACAACATGCCAACGTCACAATACCTAAAGGAGTTGGTCGTTAGTAGGTTAGGATGGCTTGTGTTTCCCATAAATATATTCCAGCTCATGTGCCAAAGCTGGAAAATTGGCAGAACCTGTGGAATTTTCCAGGGCATATGTCAGCTAGAAGTTTTACATTTCACACACAGGCATTTCACTGCTCTGGAAATATTTCCCGAGCTATTGTGCCTATGCAGTTCTGCAGTATTTCTACATGGAAATACGTCCCCTATTAGAAGGGACAGGAAGGAAAAGGGAGAACACACAGGATTCATTTAATTGCAACTATGTGTTAGGCAGTATGACTTTGCAACTCTGAAGAAATTATAAAACTGTTGGATTTTATCCTAAAATCAACTCTTAACAATGTATTAATTGGGCTACAAGCTACATTTATTGCCGAAGAAGAAAAATTCTAACCCTATTAGACTCGTGGCTAGAATTATCTTTTTTTCCCAGCGTTCTGATGAGCGTGTGCGTACAAATACAGGGAATGCATTTTGTTAAGAACTTTGTTAGACTAATGCCATAGGTGACAGCTATAAGGAAAGGATCTTTCAGGCTCAGTCACCTGACATAACTTGCTGGATGCCCTTTAATTTATGCAAAGTCTTCCATGTGCTAATGACAAAGAATCCCAAACAGAACGATTTTGCATTGGTTACTAGACCGATGCCTCTACAGAGATTTCTGTCATTAAGTACCCATTTAAGAACACTATAGTACTTCTCTCCAGAATGTAAAACTACCACAGTGATCCAAACCGAACAGAAATCTAACTGAATGGACTCTGTGTGCCCATGGGCAAAAGTATCTGAAAGACTCAAATAAGTACAAATCTTATAGCCTAGGAAAGTATACAGCCTGAAAGGGCGGGGGGTAGGGGGGAGGAGACTGTCTAGTTTGTTTTGTCACTTTTTCCTTTGTCCTCTAGCGCATACTATGCTATGACCATCCCCTCTAGTTCTTCAGGATACTAGTTACTGCAAACTGACAATATATTTTGTCTGACACTATTGTAACTTTTAAGAAGTCATACGAGTGTAAGGAAATTCATCTACAGTTAATCACCTTTACGCTAGTACTACATCATCATACTATTGCAGCAGTTGTTTCAGAGCTTTTCCAACAGCGCTTACACGATCAGAGCCTCAAAAAGTGTGGGTGCAATGAGACTGTGGGTTCTGCAACTTCAGTCTGACAGACTAAAGCGTGGGTGAGCATATTTAGTTTGGTGCCAGGCTGTGCCTCCCACCAAGCCTTAGTGAAGCATATAATATTTTGCCTATAAATGAGATTTCCATTTGCTGAATATACTGGAAAGTTTGCTTTTAAAATACAAAGTGTACAACTGGAGAAAACACAAACATCTCTATTCATCTCTCAGGGACCCACATACTGATTTACGCATGTTGCACTAGGGAGTAGAAAACTTTCTTTAGTGAGAAGGGTGCTTAGAATTTAGTTAATGCTGAATTTAAGAAAACAGTTAAGCTTCTAGTCCTCACAGTTCCAAATAAAACTTTATGAATATAAACCAGTGCAGTGTTGTCTTCCTGAAAACAGCCTAAAACATGGAATATGAACTACCTAGGACCCCAATTCTAACCAGGCTGTGTGCTGCGAAGGTCTTCCAGGGCTGGTGAAATCTTAAGAAATTTCTGTAAATGTCACCTCTGGCAGAGTGGAGGAATGTGTGTACGTACAGGAGGAAGTTGAACCTAAGAAGAAAAACTAAACATCTGTGTTTTTCAAGTTCTCTTTTCAATTAGATTTACTCTTACTTTTACTAAAACATCTTAAAAATGAGTCGTCATTTTAAGACGCACTCTGTTTACAAAAACTGTTTGGGAACATTAATCTATAGAACAAACTCCACATAAATTTTATTACTTTACTTTATCACCTTAAAAACTTAAAGCAATTTTCTGAGTATTGGCTTCACCTTCTAGTCTCTGACACACCACTATTGCAACATACTCAAATCTTCCCTTTAAAAATAAAGTCTGCCCCTTCCTTCTTCCAAAAAACAGATAGTTCATGCACAGTAAACCCTGGACAGCACAGCAATCAGATTCTCTTCTCTCCTACATGCAAGACAATGACAGCAGCATCTAAACTGCCAAATTCAGGATGTTATCAGATGGAGGAACTGAGATCATGTGTGTTGTCTCTGCTTTATCAACAAGTGCAATTTATATCCAAGCAATTTCCAGGTTAAATTCACATTCCCTCTCATTGGAAGGATGGCTAAGATGTATATTTGCATGCTAACATTTTATTCATTGTTCATTTCCATCTAACAAACGGTTTACTTTTGCAGGTACATCACCTGAGAGGTGTGACATCCTCTATGCTCTCTTTTAAAGAGACATAACAAATACCACCACATACAAGGAAGAAAGGTGAGGCGGTATCCCTAGCATGTACCAACCTCAAGGGGTGGAAATGCCTTTTGACAGACATCAGTTAATGGCTACATGCTTAGTGGTCAAGAACCATATTTTACCTCAATTAAGATGGGCATTAAAATACTAGTTACAATGGTAGCTCTTCATGGGGTTTAAACATCAAGTAGTCAGAAGTATAAGACAGCTGATTGTGCGTATTAGCAAGGTCAGGAGTGTTTACTATGTTGCTGACAAAGTCAGCTGGTTCTCAGCTGAGATTGCATCTGACTTTAGCATCAGTGAGGGGCTGTTCTTTTTAAATCAAATCACACAGGACTTTAAGAGAAACAGTGCCAAACCCAATAATCTAACACAAAGTGTTAGCCTAGATGTGGACCTTGAACCTGAACACTGTTCTTCTAAAGCATGAAATTCAAAGCACCACAGAAAAAAGGATGCAGTTTATCTGGAGCTTTCCAAGCTAATAGCTGATAGACAAGTTCCTCCTCTAGCCTATGTTGTCACATTGGGACCTATGGTTGTTCATCCAACTGAGAGACAATACGGTGGATGCCTGCCAAATCCTAGTCCTCTTACAGTCGCTCCAGTGCGTATGCATGCGTGTGAGAGAGAAACTAAAACAGCCCAACAGAAACTAGACTGAAATGCAATGCTATTCCTATTGCAAATATTCAAGTGTTCAGCCAAGTGTGGGCTGGCATCTACAGAGAAATAGGGAGTCGGCGAGAATGAGAAAGGAGATTTTAGTTTTCAGGATTTAACAATAAGTACAAAGCTGTGGGAGAATGGAAGAGTAAAAGCAGCAGCCACACAGATGGCCTGACATGATAAGATGACTTCAGATATTTCCGTAAATATGTAGAGTTGTCCATTTTTGGCACTAGTTTTCCAGTTACTATAAAACATGTCTAGACAGCTAAAATGTAAGATCGCGTGATTTATTAACAAGTCAGAAGATCTATGAAACACTGGTATAAATTCTCAGTTCAATATAATTTAAAAATATTGTAGCTCACTTAAATTCATTTTCTGATAATGCAGTTAAATAGGACACCAGTATTCTTTTAAAGCCATGTGACCAACTAGAAGTAAAAACCCACCTTTTTCATAGATTATTTTGACACTTTTGTATGTGAGGTTTAAAAAAAAAAAATCTCGCAAGTCATTAATCTAGAATGAACTAAAATCTGGAAGTATTGAAACTATAGTTGATAAGTATTTGTAGGTGCCAATTCACATCCCCACCTGAAATACTCTAGTCTCTGTTTGAACATTATAGGCTAACAACAGAATCTTCAAATATAGATAAATAGACTGTTTACAAGAACTATGGTCTGGTAGGTCAAATGTGAATGATGTTTTTTTCCAGGCTATAAAAATATAGGAATGTTGTGATTTTTTTCACTTACGAGCAGCTCCTTGGCTTTACAACAGCTGGCTCATGTCCAAAATCTAGCATTAAATGGGATCAATGAATTCAAGAACATTACCTTTAACTCTTAGGGC